AAATAGGAGGCTAGGTTGTGGCTCAGTGGTAGAGCGCTTGCCTAGCACATATGAGGCCCTGGGTTCAAACCTTAGAACCACATAAAATAAATGAATAAGGGACCTGGGGATGTAGCTCAGTTGGTAGAGTACTTACCTTGCATGCACAAGGTTCTGGGTTTAATCTCCAGCTCTGCCAAAATAAATAAATGAATAAAATAAAGCTATAAATAAAGATATTGTATTTTGTGTCCATTAAAAAAAATAAGAAAACAGTCAGCCAAGTAAAAGAAATAGCTCAAGGACAACATAGATACTTCACTGAAGAAGATATACAGATGACAAATCAGTGCATGAAAAAAGGCTAAATTTAGCTAATTAGCCAGTTGCAGTAGTGTATGTCAAGAAGACCACAAGTTCAAGTTCGAGGCCAGCTTAGGCAACTTAGCAAGACTCTGTCATAAAATATGAAAATAAAAGAGACTGGGGATGTGGGTATGTAGCTCCATGGCAGAGTGAGTTCAATTCCTATTCCCAGTACCAAAAAAAAGAAAAAGAAAGAAAGAAGAAAAGTAAAACTCATAAATCATTAGGGAAAGTGCAGAGTTCATTGAGTTATCATTGCACAACTGGTGGAATAGCTAAAAACAAATAATATATTTTTTAAAAATATTGACAAGCTGGGCATAGTAAAGCATGTCTATAATCCTAGTGTCTCAGTAGACTGAGGCAGGAGGGTGGCAAGTTCAAAGCCAATCTGAACAATTTAGGCAACACTGGGTTCAATCCCTGGCACACACACACACAAAAATTGACAATACCAAGGCCGGCAAGCATGCAAAGCAACTGAAATGCTTATTCATTGATGAAAAAAGAAAAATGGTCCATCCATTTTGGAAAAACTGAATGTTTTATCCACAGTTGACAAAACTGGAAATAATCCTAAAGCCCCCCCCCAAAAAAAAACCCAGTGTGGTACATACACACACACACATACAAATCCTAATGTCCTGTAACTAGTGAATGGAAAAACAATGTTACATCCATACAAGAGAATAGTATTTTAAAAGAGAAAGAGAATAGTATTCAGCAGTTAAAAAAAAGAACAAACTACTGATACATACATAAACAACAGCAATGAATCTCAAATGCAAATGCATTATTATTTTTCCAAGTGCTAGGGAAAGAATGTGGGAGCACTGTAACACTGAGCTACACACATCTTGGCCCTTTTTATTTTTTATTTTGAGACAAGATTGCCTGGGTTGACCTCAAAGTTGTGATCCTCTTGCCTCAGCCTACTGAATACTGGAATTACAGGTATGTGCCAGGCTTATCTGAATGTGACTTTATATTTTCACTATGTATGAATGAATCCTTTAACAGGATATAGTTGTTTGGCATGTTTCGAAATTTTATATACATAGTATCAAGCTTCGTATGCATTATTATTATTTTTTAAATATTTATTTTTTTAGTTGTAGTTGGACACAATACTTTTATTTTATTTATTTTTATATGGTGCTGAGGATCGAATCCAGGGCCTCGCACTTGCTAGGCGAGTGCTCTACCGCTGAGCCATAACCCCAGCCCTGGTATGCATCATTCTATGTGAAAATAGCCAGATTTTTTAAAAGTTACTTTTTTCATTTCATTCATTTGACTTTTTGGGAGAAGCCAAATTATAGGAAGAAAAAACAGATCAGTAGATGATACAAATGATAGCATGAGTTAATATTTTGGGGTGGTGATACAGTTTTTACCTAGACTTTGATGGTGGTTACTCAAAAATACATATTTGTCAAGATGCCTAAAACTAGACATAAATAAGAATGGAATTTACTCTGTGAAAACTAAGCAAAAACAAAAACCCTAATTAAAACCCAACTTCGCCAATCATTGATTTCAGGATGGCATCACAGCAGTTGTTGATACAAATAAATTATTGTTTTCCTTACCAAAAAAAAAAAAGCATATTTTGTTTACTGGAGGCTCCAAGCTTCTTTTCGTTATGGTGAACTATTTCAAACAGAAAAGGTTAATGTAACAACAAAGTACCTTTCACTAATTTTGTCAAATCTTAAAATTTTGCCTTATTTTCTTAAGATTTTTTTTTCGAGAAACAAAATATCTGTTTTTTTTTTCCTTTTGATAGTGAGGATGGTACCTTGGGAACTCTACCACTGAGCTACATCCCCAGCCCTTTTCATTTTTAGATAGGGTCTTGCTAAGTTGCTGAGGCTGGCCTCAAATTTTCAATCTTCCTGCCTCAGCCTTGGACATATTTATACAGTTTGATATATACACCTTTGAAACCATAATCACATTCCAGATTGTGTTTAATTAACATACTCATCACCCTCAACAGTTTCCTCATCCCCTTTGTAATCCATCTTTTCCATGTCATAGTCCTTTTGGTCCCTAGGCACCCTGTGATCTGCTTTCTGTCACAATAGATTAGTTTGTATTGCTTAGAACTATGTATCAAAGGAATCATACCAAAACTACTCTTCTTTAGGGACAGGGAGATTCTGGGTTTCTTTCACTCAGCTTTTTTTTTTTTTTTAAGAGAGAGGGAGAAAGAGAGAATTTTAAAATATTTATTTCTTAGTTTTCGGCAGACACAACATCTTTGTTTGTATGTGGTGCTGAGGATCAAACCCGGGCCGCACGCATGCCAGCATGCCAGGCGAGCATGCTACCGCTTGAGCCACATCCCCAGCCCTCACTCAGCTATTTTTAAAAATAAGTCATATTTCATTTATCAGTAAGTCATTCCTTTTTTTTTTTTTTGGTACCAGGCATTGAACCCAGTGGCACTTAACCTCTGAGCCACATCCTCAGCCCTTTTTTATATTTATTTAGAGACAAATTGCTGATTGCTTAGGGCCTTGCTAAATTGCTGAGGCTGACCTTGAACTCACCATCTTCCTGTCTCAGCCTTGCTGGGATTACAGGCATGTGCCACCTTACCGAGCTCCATTCACCTTTTGAAGGACATTTGGGTTATTTCTAGTCTTTAGCTCTTACAAATGTAGCTGCTATTAACATTAATGTTAAGGTCTTTGTGGATGTATGCTTTTATTTGTCTTAGATAAATAGTGTAACATTTGGGTCATTTGGTAGGTATGATAGGTATATATTGGCATATATTTAATCTCTAAAGAAACTGTAAAACCATTTCCCAGAGTAGTTGTATAATCTTAAAATCCTACTTTTCTCCTGGATATGAGAATTTTTATTGCTCTATGCTCTTGCTAACATTTTGTATTACTAGTCCTTTTATATTAGGCATTCCTGTGGTTTTAATTAGCTCTTACTTAACGTCTTTTTTTTTAAAGAGAGAGAGAAATTTTTAATATTTATTTTTTAGTTTTCGGTGGACACAACATCTTTATTTTATTTGTATGTGGTGCGGAGGATGGAACCCAGCGCCCCGCGCATTCCAGGCCAGAGAGCTACCGCTTGAGCCACATCCCCAGCCCTTACTTAACGTCTTTCATGTCTTATTTGCCATCTATTTATCTCCTTTGGTAAAGTATACGTCCAAGTATGTAGGTATGTATTCATTGATTTATGTGGTACAGGGGATTGAACCCAAGGACTCTCTATCTCCCAGCCACATCCCCAGTCCTTTTTATTTTTCATTTTGAGATAGAATCTCATTAAATTGCAAGGCTGCTCTCAAACTTGTGATCCTCTGACTCAGCCTCCAAATTAGCTGGAATTACGGATTGGGGCCATTGTACCCAGCTCAAAATAGTGTTGTTAATTTTTTTATTTTTGCAGTACTGGCTTAAACCCAGAGTCTGACTCATGCTAGGCAGGTGCTCCAATGAGCGATATTCAGGGTTCTCATACCATTGCCCTAAAGAGCAAACTTTCTAATTTTGATGACATGCAATTTGTTATTATTATTGCTTTATGGGTTATGTATTTGAAAGTCACATATATTTTTCTCCTGTGCTTCTCTCTAGAGGTATTGTAGCTTTAGGTTTTACATTTAGGTCTAATTTGGGTTGTGACACAATAGGTTTGGTATTTTGAAAGATACCTGGCAGCAGCAAGGAAGGTGTCTGGAGAGTGATAGCCTGGAGGCCTGAAAGGAGTGCCACGTGGCTTACGTGGCTTCTGTTAGGTGATGGTAATGTAGAAAATGCAAAGCAGTTGAAATATTTTGAAGTATTTTCCCAGAGTGGTTGGGAATGTAGTTGAATGGCCTGGAGGTGTCAGGAATGATTCCTGGATTTCTTATGCAAAAAATGGTGGTAACTTGCTTCTAAGATTTTTGCCCTTTAAATTGACCCTCAATGTTTCTCTTTCTTTGTTGGTACTGGAGGTTGAACCCAGAGAGGCTCCACTTCTAAGCTACATCTTCGGTCTTTTTATTTTTATTTTTTGAGATAGAGTCTCACCAAGTTGCTGAGGCTGGTCTGGAACTTGGGATCCCCTTGCCTCTGCCTACCGAGTCTCTGGGAGTACAGAAGTGCACTACTGCGCCCAGCTCAATTATGTTTCTCTTGGGGAAGAGTGTGACTTGAAATTTGTCCACGCAAAGACTGGACAGTTTGTTTTTATCCCCCATATTTTTAAAAAGTCGGTGCATTGTAGTGATACATAATAGGATTAGGTGTTACACATTAGTACGTGCACACAACATAACAATATATTTTGGCCAATATCATTCCCCAGTGCTGGACACAGTTTCTAAACTAATACACTTGCGTCAGCTCCTTTCTTGGCCACTTGTGTGGAGTCAATATTGAACCCAGCCCTCCCAAGCCCAAAACCTTTGCCTCGCTCAGTACCAGGAAAGGTTCCCAATTCTTTCACATGCAGGGTGCGGACTGCTGGGGGCGCAGGCCCAGACAGCCCGTGCGGGGCTGGCAGCCAGGAGGGAAAGGCGGGTAGTCTCCGCCATTTTGTCCCGCTCGCCAGTCCCTGCTGCGACTACAAGTCCCGTGAACCTCCGCGGCGGCACTTCCTACTCTCACTGTCCGGCCGGCTCCCTCTTCCCCCTCCCCGGGGCCGGCGCCTCTGGCTGCAGCCGGGCGGCCAGAGGCCAGGTAGGATTTCCGGGGGAAACTGGTGTGGAGACTGAGGAGGCGGCGAAGGCGACCCGGGTGAGTTCCGCAAGCAAGAGAAAGTGAGCCGCACGAGCGCAGGGTCAGGCTTGCGGGCGCCTCTCAGGCTCCGGGCACATCCTTGGCTCTGCGAGGGGGTTGCGGTCCCAGCGGGGGGTTACGGCCGGGGTGGCCGCCGCCTCGGGCAGGGCGTGGCGGGCCGGGACCGCCGCCTCCCTTCTCCGCCCTCCCACAACGGTCCGGCTACTGCGTGTCAGCTCGCAGCAGGGCCCGCGCAGGCTGCCCTCTACGCCCCCCAGACACGGTTGAGCCCTTTTGTCTGGGAGGCTTTCTCCCCTTTGTGCGACTGTGAGGAGTCGCGACCGCGGGGAAGCCTGCAGGTACTGACTGAGGCGGATCCCTGGGGATCCGATTACGGTAACAGAATCGGGTCAAAGTACATTTTTCAAAACCTTCCACCCTCATAACTGCACCCCGGCTAGACTTAGCGGAGCCTTCGGAGCCCGGTAGTTTCTGTAGAAACCTCGAGGTTATTGTATCCAACTCTTAAGTGTTAGTTCTACGGAGCTTCCGATTACAAATCTGCCGTTTTCATTGGGAGGAAGATGAGTCTATGGGGGGGAAAAAGCGAGCCCCTGAACCCCATCCTGGGAATCTGGGGAGAAATTGAATTTGCTGCGATGCCTGTTGCCCCTATGGTCAGGGGGACCAAAGAACTCTTGCGAATGGCATTGATTCACACACCTCCCGATCTCAGAGAAGACTAAGTGATTTATAGGTAGGGCAATATTTAATATTTGCAAAAAAAAAAAAAAAAAACACTTCATTCGGTCACCCGGATCTTCAGTCCTCTGAAAGACATCCTTACTTATTCTGTTTAAAACAAAAAGTCTAAAGAAAAAGTCCATTAGTAGAACTATCCACTTTATAGAGAAGCCAGAAACCAAGTGGCTTCCAGAAAGCATTTTTTGACTAAGTAAAAGGCATGAAACCATTTTACGGGAGGAGAGGTGGTATGCTCCTATTGGAAATGGTTGAATTGCATGGATTTAGTAAAATTTGGTTACATAGTGGTAGCTTGATATACGTTCCGTTGAAAGACTGCATCGCTAGATTAAAGCTTTCTTTCGTTTTTTGTTTGTTTTGTTTTGTTTTTTTGGTACTGGGGATTGAACTCAGGGACACCCAGCCACGGAGTCACACCCCCAGCCCTATTTTGTATTAATATTATTTTTTTAATTTAGAGACCGGGTCTCACTGAAGCGCCTCTCTGTTGCTGAGGCTGGCTTTGAACCCATGATTCTCCTGTCTCAGCCTCGGAGCCTCTGGGATTATAGGCGTGCGCACCAGCCAGGCTAATTTAAAACTTTCTAAAGGCAGATACCCCCCTTTGAAAAATAGATTAATACTTCAAGTTCCTTTAATAAAGATAGCCAGGACCCTTTTGCATAAACCAGGGAAGTTTTTTTTTCTTCCTTCTTTTCTTTTTTCTTTTTTGCCAGGGGTTTAACCCAGGAGCAATTAACCACTGAACCACATCCCCATTCCTTTTTATTTTTCATTTTGCGACAGAGTCTCCTTAAGTTGCTAGGACCTCACTAAGTTGCTGGGACTGCCCTGGAATTTGCCATCCTCCCGCCTCAGTCTCCCTAGTCTAGGATTACAGGCGTCTGCCACCACACCCTGCAAATCTGGGAAGGTTTTTGAAGTTACATAGGTTAAATTCTCATCCTACTCAAGTAGGCAAATTAAGCCTTTAGTACTTTATTTGTTTGACATCTCATAACGGAAATTACTTACTCTGAGAATCCCGGATCGAGTTAGTTACTTTGTATAGAAATGGGAGGTCCTTAATGAAGTTGTTCTTCAATTTATTTTTCTTTTTTGTGGTGCTGCGGATATTCTGAAACCAAGGTCTTGTGCATACTAAGGAGGTATTCTACCACTGAGCCACACTCCAAACCCCAGTTGTTCTTCACTTTGTAAAGCAGCAGTGTTTAGGGGTCTTTTTTGTCTTTTTGGATAAACTTTGAAGAAACAGCCATAGAATTGCTCAGTGTTTTAAAAATAAGAAAAAGCAGTTGCTACTCACTAGCTCTTATTTGTTTAACATGATAAAAAAAATTCTGTCAATGTTATTTTTAAAAATTTTTATTATTTTTTTGTGGTGCTGGGGATTGAACCCAGGGTCTTGTGCATGGGTCGCAAGCACACTATCAACTGAACTATATCCCTAGTCCCAATGTTATTTTTTTTTATGTAAATAAAGCTGTTTATATTGCATAGATAAAGAAATTTGGTGAGACAATTCCATTAAAGTAGTTACTTTCAAAATTACCAAAAACATTTTTGAAGATATTCATGGTAATAAAGGAAGGCATTGTAGTTAGCAGGCAATTACATAGTTTTGACTTTGTATATGTGTGTGTGTGTGTATGTATATATATATATATATATATATATATATATATATATATATATATA